TTCCTCAAATATCAAGAACCAAAATGTTCCGACTGAATTATATACAGTCTCAATTGTTTGTTTTTTGTCCCCTAACAGCCAATAGAAAAAAGTAAAGCGTTCAAACTTTAATCATATATAGTTTTAGTGAACAATTAGCTTCTTGAGCAATTTGTTTTAAATGCGGGGTAAATCGCCACGCATTTTTGAATTGCGCTTACGCTTCTCAGCGACAATTAAAAAGCGTTAGCGCTATTAATCATCTCATGGGAATTTAAAAATTGAGCTCAAAACATCAAAAAAGTTTTGAATGTTTTAAAAAAACTTTGCTAGTTAAAAAGTCGAACCTTGTCTCGAGAAAAAAACACCAGAGCACATATATTCTACCACTTTCTTCAAAAATTTGATGGCCATTTCTTGTCGACCAAGTTCACAAAAGTGATCGTATTAACTCAGTTATTCTACTGTTGTCTAATCTGCTGGTCTAATGTCTTATTTTGGGTTTGCTTGATTTACTTTTTTTTACTTGAAACGGCAAAATGTAAATCAATACAGATCCTTATGGAAAATGAATCTTGATCTCTGATGAAAAAACCACAGAAGGTCTATTCAATGAGTGCAAACAGGACTTTACAGTGGTCGAGAAAAAATTGGATTTTTAGCATCCAGTTGATCTTCACGAGAAAAAATTGGATTTTTAGCATCCAGTTGATCTTCATGAGCAACTAAAAATAACGCGTGAATTGGAATTTTTTCCACTGCTTGATCGGACAAAAAAAATTTGTTTGCATTTTTTGTTCAAATCTATTTTTTGGTCCCATAGGGGTTTATTTTTTCTTATAAATGGTGGGTTTTTAGATACTGGCATAAGATTTAATTATGCTTGCATTCAGCTAGCGAAATCAATCGCAAGGTAGGTTTTTCTGCTTAATAATTTACTCAAGGCAACCACTGAGTTGATAGATGTCTTGAGATGACTTTTTTCATGGTAAGCGACTGATTCTAAGAGTTTGATCTATAAGCAGCGTCCATGCCTGTCACAAAGAAGTTTCAGCATTCAAATCAAGCCCGGTTCTGTTTTTTTTTGCAAAATGAAAACTTAAGACTTGAACAAATACTAGATCCGCTAATGAAATGCCTTCTGAATATTTTTGCTGATTAGAAGTCCTCTAGCAATTGATTGGTTTTTGGCTTAAGCCATTTTAACTATACTATGAAATCCGTTTAATTTTATTCTTTCAAGTGTGCAAATTAGTAATTGAATTGCAATGTTGAAATCCGTATGAATAATTCGGATATCAGATGAAAGGCCGATTTTTTTCTGACTTTTTTTTGTTTTTTAATTAGTTCTAAGTTACGAACCCAAGGAATAGAATTTTGACTTTTGATTTTTACAATAGCAATAATCAAATTTTTGGAATCATGATTGTATCAGTCAGAAAAATAATTAAAAAATGGGGTTCCTTTGCTCGGTGTGAGTTTATCAATAGTGCTTCTGCTAACTTTTGCGCTGTTGAAGAAGGGCTGAATCAAACCTCTTGAGAAATCTTGAAAACTTTTGGAAAAAAAGGAACAAAACTTCGCAGTCACTTATGAACATTTATTCTCGCTTGAGAATTACTGGCAATTATTTTGCAATAGCAATGATTCGAAACTCTGTTTCATCTCTATGTAATGTATAATTCCTGTCATGTTAGTTCATCTGTTTTTCTGTATGAGTCGATCAACAAAAAATGTTCATCTATTATTTGGCATTTTTTTTGCAAATTAATGCGCGAACTATTTCTGAAGGGTGGTTTTCCTTGCAATTTTAGTATTTTGAAAACAATTCATAGGTGATCAAAAAAAATTCACAAAAAGAACAATTTAGTTGAAAAAGAATCCAAAAAAGATATGACTTGAATCTTGTACGATTCTGGAGGGCAGGATCAGGATAAAAAAAATTTCAAAAATATAAAATTTAGTTCACCTAGCCAAAACACATAAATTTTGCCGAAAAAACTTTAATCGAAAAGAGAAGGGTTGTTAAACTTACAAATTAAAAAGTACATTATAGCAGTAGCAACTAAAACCAAAATTGCTTGCATAAAAAAAAATTCCATGATGTGGCAACACAGTCAGACTAACTAAATGACAACATTTGCTTGTAACGAAAAGTTTTCAGTATAAAAAACCAGGCACAAACTGGATTTAAAAACAGAACATTTGCCGCCCAAGCGTAGTCGTTATCTCGAGGTCAATTGTGTCTTTTGAGTTTATAGGGAGGTAAGATAATTAGCTTACGTCATATTTTGTGTCATTTCCTTGCCATCGGAAATTACCAATTAGTAACTTTTCTATGAAGGTTGCTCAAACATCAAGTACCTGAATGTTCCGATTGAATTTTATACAGTCTAAATTGTTTGTTTTGGTAATTTGATACAAACTTTAAGTCAGGGTAAATCTGCTGAAATTAACTACAACATCTTTTCAAATTTGAGCTCCAAAAATTAATACATTTTGAATGGTATAATAAATTCCGTCAAATTTTGCTTGTAAAAAGTCGAAATTCGAGTCGAGAAAAAAAACACCCGAGCACATACATTCCACCACTTTCTCCACGTATTTGCAGCAAGGCAATGCATTTTTTGATCTGATTGCTCTTTAACGGGTATGGTGGCGCAGTTTTGGCCTCTTAACTTAACTGATCAAAAGTTATTTTTCATATTTCTCGGGATTTATTTTTAGAGTTGAAGAAAAATTTTCAAAACAATGGTGGGTCGATGTCAGAGTACTCTCAGAAGTTGCAAATAGCTCAATTTATGAAATAGGAAACGCTGTTGGATGTCCACAGTTAACTTTTACGGCAGATTTAAATTCTGCAAAGTTTATGAATTAGAAAACAATTTTCTCGTTCAGTATTCAGTTTGAAGCACCGTACGCGCGGATTCACACACCAGTTATTCTTTTTGGCCTAAATTTCTAAACCTTTGTGACTTGGCAAAAAATGAGCTTAGTTTAAATGTTTTTTTTTTTACGACTTTCGATACGAAAGTAACGGAATATTTGTGCTCGGGGTGGGTTTTTTTTTCTTCAGACAAATTTCGACTTTTTAACTAGCCATTTTTGACGGATTTTTTAAAATATTATTCGGTAAGTATTGTTGTCTTGAGCTCAAATTTTAAAAGATATTTTACTTGTGACCATTTTTCATAAAGTTATGAGGATTTAAAGATTGCCATTTTGGCCAATTTGGGACAATTAACGCGCGATATATTTCGCGCTATAAACGCGTAAGCGGAGAGTTAATCCGCCTTAAAATCATTCCAAATTGGTTGAAAGAAGCTTATTTGCCATAATTGATTTGTTACAACGAGCGAAATCTAACCTTTTGTACTTTATATGGCGTGTGAGGGGATGATTTTCATTAAAAAATTTCAATTTTTAGAAAAAATTTTCATTTTACGTTTTTTTTTAAACTTTTAAATGTTATTGCTGTTCCATAAAACCATAAAAGGCAGTCGGAAGATTCAGGGCTTCGCCCTGATTTGAGCAGTGTTGTTGTTCCGACTTTCGATACGAAAGTAACGAAATAATTCTGCTCGGGGTGGGTTTTTTTTTCTTTAGACAAATTTCGGCTTTTTAACTAGCCATTTTTGACGGATTTTGTTAAAAATCATTCAGAAGGTATTGCTATTCTGAGCTTAAATTTGAAAAGACTTTTCACCTGTGATCATTTTTTGTAAAACTATGGTGGTTTAGAGATTGCCATTTTGGCCAATTTGGGACAATTAACGCGCGATATATTTCGCGCTATTAACGCGTAAACGGAGATTTAATCCGTCTTAGAAATCGTTCCAAATAAATTGAAAGAAGCCTATTTGCCGTAATTGATTTGTTACAATGAGCGAAATCTATTCTTTTGCCTTTTACATGGCGTGTGGGGGGATGATTTCAGGAAAAAAATTCAAATTTAAGATTTTTTTTTTCATTTTATTTTGTTACATTTAATTTTTTTTGTTACTACTGCTCCATAAACCTTAAAAGGCAGTCGGAACATTCAGGGTTTTGCCCTGATACGAGCAGTTTTATTGTTCCGACTTTCGATACGAAAGTAACGGAATATTTGTGCTCGGGTGGGTTTTTTTTCTTCAGACAAATTTCGACTTTGAACTATCCATTTTTGACAGTTTTTTTTTAAATCATTCAAAAAGTATTGTTGTCCTGGGCTTAAATTTGAAAAGATATTTTACCTGTGATCATTTTTCGTAAAGTTATGAGGGTTTACGGATTGCCATTTTAGCCATTTTGACCAATTTGGGACAATTAACTCGCGATATAATTCGCGCTATTAACGCGTAAGCGGAGATTTAATCCGTCCTATAAATCGTTTCAAATTGGTTGAACGAAGCTTATTTGCCATAATTGACTTGTTAAAAGGAACAAAATCTCTCTTTTTGTTTTTTATATTGCGTGTGGGGGGATGATTTTCATTTAAAAAATTCAAATTAAAAAAAAAAACTTTTCCTTTTATTTTATTTCATTTAATTATTTTAATGTTGGTACTGCTGCTCCATAAACCTTAAAAGGCAGTCGGAACATTCAGGGCTTCGCCCTGATACGAGCAGTCTTGTTTAAATTTAAAATTAGAACATCAATCGTTTTCAGATATAGAAAATGGTTACTTGAATGGGAAATTTACCTGGAAAAAAATGAGACAACACAACCAGGGACAATTCAGAAAAAGTCAAAACAGAATATTTCGTATAGAAAGGTCTCAGAAGCCTAGATTTACCGGAAACACTGATTCCGCGTATGAGACCGCTCCTACCCAAGAAAAGCAATCAGCGTTACTCCTTTTAGGAATGGAAAGTAAATTAACAGAAGAGCTTAAACATTTCGTTGTTCGCTTCATGCAGAAAAAGAGATCAACGGTTATCAACTTCCGAGGAGATATTTTTAAGAGTCAGCTCCAAGTTAGTAACTGAATGGCGTTTATGACTAATAAAAAATTATTTCGGCAAAAGTTAAAAAAATCTAACCTTTTTAGGCTTCTCTTTATCATCTTTTCCTTTTCCTTTCGCACTTTTTCCGCCTTTTGCGGCTGCCTTTTTTCCTTTGGGCATGTTTTAAACACCCTCCAAATGACCGAATCAAGTTAAACTACAGCTACTGTTTTAATCGAGTGGATCAAGCGAATGTGTGTGAAAAGATAAATCAGTTTGTGAAAAGGTCTTCAAGTTTTAAGCACATGCACCTGCGCTTTTTCACCAGTTCAATTCTGAGACGATTGATTACATTTGAGCTTTAAAAATTCATGCGTAGTCTAAACGCAACAAAATAGTACACATTGTTGGTCACTTAGTTTCAGGCATTTAAGATTTGAATGTTTCTTTTTTTTGTAGATTTTTCGGCTTCGTCCCTTTTTATTATCAACTGGAAAAACAACTCAAGGCTTTTCGTATGACTGAAATAATTTTCATTTCACGTTTAATTGGTTCAATCATTTCAAGATGACCTCAATTTGAGTTACGAGCAAAACAATTTATATTTGTTCGAATTCCTGAAAACCTAAGCCGATGAAAAGTTTTTCCTTAATAATTAATTATTACTATTTTAAAATAAAATTATCATATGCATACGAGATCAACCCATATGTTCTGATACGAGAAATTATGTAGATTGGTACGAAATAAGGTCGATTTATTAATTAAATGACTTTAAAAAATGTTCCAAATACGGAGATCATTATCTCCAACTATGTAGTTTCCCGTTATGCCAATAAGTGCCCTCATTAATTTCCCGGTGGATACAAATATTTTGCAAAGCTTTCGGGCGCAACTCGGGCACGTCAGATATGCCTCCCTTTCCCTTGAATCTGGTATAAGAAGCGATATGAATTCCTTCTTTCGCAACGCGCAGCAGATTCATCAGCATTTCGCTCTCGGTGACAACCTCCTCGAATTTATAACCTGAGCTTATTTCAAATATTAACGGCATTTTGTAGCACTTGGTAGGTGTCAAAAGGCGCTGGGCCAACAATACGGCGGCTGCAGCTACTATTGAAGGCAACACGTTGCAAAAACAGGGGTCGTGAAATGATAAAACGATCAAATACTTGGCGCAAATGTAAACATTCGGCATAAGTTGCAATCCCCGTTGAATCCGCTGTAAGAACAGGAATGCGTGAATGCTGAATAGATCGAAGTTTAAGACCCGCGTAATTTCGTCTTCGAAGGCGTTCATGTCATGAATGGAGACTTCACCAGCTGACAATTCCACCATCTGTTCACGAATATTATCAAGCGTCACGCGCGTTTCCAGCTTGCACGCCAGACTTAACGCAGACAAACCGATCGCATGCAAGTTCTCCCGACACGCGTATTCGGACTTTTTCATGAACCGGTCGATTAGGTTTACTGTAATTGCCAAACTTTCATCCTGCTTTCCTTGGAAAAAGTTGCAGTGAACTTCTACCATGCGATTAATCATAATAAAGCGCTCCCTTCTGGTTACCCGAGTTTTATCGAGATAATTGGCATGGACCAAATATTTCGCCTCGTTGGCAAAATAAAACTGAACAACATTTACCCCGTTGTCCCCATCGCCTTTCAACGGGTAAACTTTATGTCTGGTTCCATCGCCCAAGTTGAAGTGGGTGTACTTGCTTTCATTCACATTCCAGAGGCCGTTTTGTGGTGGCTTTTTCAATGGAGCCGGTTTCTTTAACCATTTTTGTGGAGTAAGAGTCTGGTTTTCCGTTTGCGGGTTATCTACTACTATTTTTTCCGGTAATGGGACCAGAACGTCTTCACATTCCACGTAGGAATAAATTGAAGAAACATCGTCGTTTTCCTTTTCAACCAAAGATGTGTTTTCAGTTTCTTTTTCTTTGGTAGATTCTCCTCCATTCGCCAAAGTTGGATGGTTGCTGATGTTATTCAAAGCTTTTCTATCGGCCATTTTGCTGTGGTATCTCAGAATCACGGTTTACAATAGCAATTAATTGAAAAGCAAAAAAAAATCCAATATAGTTGGCAAAATCGAATCGAATTGAATTTCCAGTAAAAATTTAAGAATACAATTATATTTAGAGCAGCTGCCCCAATCGCTAACAGCTTACACCAAATTTTACTGCTGATAATGTATCACCAACTTCAAAGAAAAAATTTACGAGAAACAAGTGAATGACAATGACAATGAAAGACAAAAATATCTAATTAATTGGGAAGAGCACAATACCAGTTTCGAAGAGTTGTGATCGTTTCTTACATTGAACGACCTTGAAAGCTACAGTTATAGAGAGTTGCAGAAAGCTGGAACAGACAAAATTAATTTAAAAGAGCAATTGACCTATTTCGGAAAAATTTTGAATGCAACAGCTAATTTTATGTCTCAAGGTTATTTGAAACATCAAAAGTGCATGCAAAATCTGTCAAAATGGAAAAATTGCTCTTTTTTAATTAAGTAGGCCTGTCCAAACTTTTTGCAATTTATTACTTTTCAGATAATTCTTGCATGCAAAATCTAATTTTTCAGACACAAAGTATGTCTCAATATTTCATAAACCTTCACATTTACATGCAACAATTGCTCAAAACTGGGAGTTTGCTCCTTCAATTATTGTTCCGACTTTCGATACGAAAGTAACGGAATATTTGTGCTCGGGGTGGGTTTTTTTTTCTTAGACAAATTTCGACTTTTTAACTAGCCCGGACGGAATTTTTTGACGGAATTTTTTATATCATTCAAAAGGTATTGTTGTCCTGAGCTTAAATTTGAAAAGATATTTTACCAGTGATCTTTTTTCGTAAAGTTATGAGGGTTTATAAAGATTGCCATTATGGCCATTTTGATCAATTTGGGACAATTAACGCGCGATATAATTCGCTCTATTAACGCGTAAGCGGAGATTTAATCCGTCTTATAAATCGTATCAAATTGGTTGAACGAAGCTTATTTGCCATAATTGATGTGTTACAAGGAACGAAAATTATCTTTTTGTACTTTACATGGCGTGTGGGGTGATGATTTTCATAGAAAAAATTTCAATTTTTAGAAAAATTTTTTTTTCATTTTATTTTATTTCATATAATGTTTTTATGTTATTACTGCTGCTCCATAAACCTTCAAAAGCAGTCGGAACATTCAGGGCTTCGCCCTGATACGAGCAGTCTTGTTCTTATTCGTTCTAACTTTTTGCAAATCAATATATCCAGTTTTTTAAGATAATTACAGAGTTGCAAATAAGGGAACAGACAAAATTAACTAAAAAGAGCAAATTATCTATTTTAGAGAGTTTCTTCAGGCAAAAATTTAGTTCTTAGAGAGAAAAATAGATCTCAAGGTCACCTAAAAATTCGAATTTGCATGCAAAAATTGCTTGAAATTTGCATATTGCTCCTTCAATTATTCTTGTGTGTTCCAACTTTTTGCGTTTTTTATATCTTTGCTGAATATAACAAGTACCACGATGAAACAAAAACTAAAAATAAATAATGTTTTTCCATGAAGGAAAAAAAATCTCAATTTTAAAAAATTTTGCAGCAATGTTTCTCTAACTAGAAAACTTCAATCCGAGCAGGCGCAAAATTAACTATTTTTCTATTGAATAACTTTTTTGATAATTCGAGTAAAAAAGTACTTTCACTGCCAGCATATAAACTTATCTGTCTATTATGATGCTGCTCCTTCGTCGCTCGTTCAATTTATTCGAAAGCACACGAAAAACAAAAAAATTCGAACCTATTTTCTCGACACTTCTAAAATCTAGCTCAAATCGTGAGTGAAAAGAAATGTATCTGATTGTTCACTCGGTTCATTCGAATACTTATTTTTGGTTTAAAGAATACCTGATGAAAAAGAAAAATTTCCAAAAAATTTAAACACACCCAAAGCCAAAGTCCTCCCCATTTTCAGTAGACGGAAGGAAAATTGGAGGATTCGCATTAGAATGGAGATTTGGCGCAAAGTCTGGTCCAGGAACAGGGCGGTAAAGCAATTTACCAGAATGAGAATGATCCATTGTCAGTGAATAGACTCTCCTAGAAATCGGAGTTCTCTCTTCAAAAATGAGTATTTGAAAAAAAATGCACGAAGTTTAATAGAAGAAAATGTTCGGAAGATAGAAAATTTTAAGAGCAATCAGCAGATTGAGAACGAAACTTTTAAGCACTTCATTTTTTAAAACAGAGTCGAAGCTGAGCTTTGCACTACTTCGATACAACTTTGATTAAAATCAAACAAAAAAATTTGGAAAAAAAATAACAAAATCATTTTGTCACTAAACAATTGTCAATGCTCCGGATGATTGGTTCACTTTAAATTTATAATTACCATGTGGTAAAAAGCCGAAAATACCTGAGCGGAAACCTTTCTAGCCGAAAGAGTAATTTGAAAAATTATGAACTAATAAAAAAGTTGTCCCTTTCCCCTCAGAGAACACACACGCACACAAGTTTTTTTTGATCACCGAACGACGCAAAAAGAAGGTCACTAGGTCAATATAAATTAAGCCGAAACTTGTTAACAAGATAAAAAAGACAAAAATGAAAAAATATATTTGACACATCGAGTTGGTAGAACAACGAACAGTATTAAAAACAAATTTCAATTCCACCGGATTTTTAAAATGCTAAAACACTTCAAGGAACTACTGTAAAAATTGTTTGCAGCAAAAAAAAAACATTCTTAGATCTGGCAAGTAAGCCGACGAAACATGAGCAGACAATAGGCAATTTTTTTTGAACCGGAATATTTACCGTTTAAAAAAACCAGATCCTAGTCAGCTTTGAACCCGAGACCTTTGGCATCCCAGGCGTGTTCGTTACCTCTAGGCTAAGTGTGCAGGATTCAATAAGGAACTTGAATTCATTTTGAAACAAGGTACTATAAGTCCATATGAGTCCTGGGGAAAAAATTGTTCACGGGAAAAAAGCGTAATACACGATAGCAATACCGTTATCGCAAAAGTAATCAAACTTGAGACATATATTCTGTCTGAAACCTATTTTTTGTCTGCAAAGTTTTCTGAAATCGGTAATTTGCTCTTTCACTGTTTGCGACTCTGTGTAGATCTCACCTTCTTGCAACCCTCTTTTCTATACGCGCTCTAGTTTCCAAAAAGAGCGTGCACATAGTTGACAAGAAAGAATGTTACCACATTAACCCATGTCCTGTAATGCATTTTAAAAACAAAAGATACGTTAAATCAAAAAGGAATAAAAATCGAGTTGCTTTCTAACATCTCAGCAAACAAAATTTTTCTGAACATCATTATTAAATGTTAATTATTAAGGGCCAAGCAGATTGTCTAAGCACATGATCTTGCTAATGAAACCAGTGAAACTTGGTTATAATTAACTTTGAAATCAGTGTCATAATTTTTGAAAGTTTGAGGTTTAAAAATAAAAAATAGCACTATTATCAAAATTGGTAGAACGATTAGAATTCTGAGATCTACATAACAATCTCTCCTCCCCCCTATTGTATCTACTAAAAAATCTCCACCCCATTAAATAAATACAGTAAATTAGCACTGAGTTTTCTATTGAGAATTCTGCTGCATTCTGATTGGTCAAAAAATCGACCATTTTGATGTACTTAACAATCTCCTCCCCCCTTTCTTAATTTTTGGCTACATTGGTCAATTTATATCGTCGATTTTTTCATTCAGAAGTTTTTTATGAAGAAGACCCTAAAAATTGAATCGAGGACGGTCGAATGATGTTTAAACTATTATCTTGTTACGAAACAGAAGTTCTTAGTTGAAAAACTTCTCCATTTGAACCCATTTAACTGTTTATAAGTCCAAATGCAAAAGTTTAGGAAGTGTCCAAATTTAAATAGTGGTAAAATAAGTGCTCGGCAGTATTAATGACATAAGCAGTAGTTTTTGTAAGCAGTAGTGTTCTCTTAAACTTCCTTCTTACAGAAAAACACTTGCTAATCCCAAGTGTAACAAAGTTTAGAAGCAACATCAAAGCGTTTTATTTTGAGCACATTTAATGTGGAATCTAATTTCAGAGTTCATAAATGGCTGCAGAATTTTACGGTAGGTCACAACTTTCGAATTTCAAACAAATAGATGGTCTTAAACCCCTTCGATTTTCTACAACAATTGATGACTGATATTTTTCGGATTAAATTAACCTGAATTGAGAAAACTGGATAACATTATATTGTTTATTTCGATTGGGAAATCTGCAAAATTAAACTCCACGACTGTCAAAACTAGAAATCAATCGCGTTTTTTGTGACCTTTACTTTTTGGTTGTGAATAGTGGAGCCTACATCCTTTTTAACGAAGAAAACGAACTAAAGTTGAAAATAAATTAAAAGTCAATCCGCAAAAAAGTAAATTTGAGCCTGAACAAATTTTATGACTTTTCCTGACAAAAAAAAACAAAAAAAAACATCGCGATATAAGAGTCTGAACTACGTTCATCGCCTCTTAAAAAATGTTTATCTCATCTCATCATAAAACTGAAAATCATAACAGCATATACAAATTTGATCTCCCGTTTCCAACTCAAACTTTAAGCAGATCATAAAAACGAAAATTCTCAAGAGCAACTGTAAAATTCATGTTATCCTACGTCTTCCGTCTCCAACTCTCATTTTGAGGAAATCCATGGAAAAAACAAATGCATTACGATGTCAAACTGTGTATTTTGCGAATTGTAAGCGAATTGCGCAACAAGGACGCTCTCTTTAATCTTATTTTTTTGAACGCTCCGACACAGCTTTAACATATTTAAAGACTTATCTCTGGATTCCGAAGACCTACACACACCAAATTGTTTGTCTATCTGGTGCACAATTTGGCCTCGGAATAAATTGACTTTTTTTGTTATTTTGAAAAATCAAACATTTTTGAATTTCAAAGTTAAAAATAATTAGCTTTAAAGCTCTTTCAATTCAACGAACATTTTATGACTGAACTTTTTTGATAAATTACTCAATTTCAGAAACTAGATCAGCTGGGAACTCTGAAAACCAAAACCCAGTTTCGAAATTAGAAGCCGATCACGTTTTTGTGACCTTAACAACGTTGCTGTTCTAACGTATCGTTTGCTTTCCTGTTAGCAATGGAAGGAATTAAACTTAACAAGAAACCAAAAGTCAAACCGCGAAAATTCAGTTAATTTCAAGCGGAATCATTTTTCAAGACTTTTGTAAAAAGTATAAACAAAAAAGCATCAAGATATTTATAAGAGTCTTCACTACGGTCATGGACTCTCAGTATGATGAATTGATCGATCCGCTTGATGGTTAATTGAGGTTTCTGATTTGCTGGGGAACATTAACAAATAATAATAATTTAAACACAGAGGCAAAACTGTGCTTCGCAAAAATTAGCGAGAACACGGAAAAAAGCAGCTTTAAAAAGTGCAATAAGTAGAATATTATAATTAAACCTAAAAAAAAAGCAGAAATATTTTAAAACAACAACTGAGCTACGGCTGAGTTTCAAACCAGCGACCTAGAGATTAAGAGTCTCAAACCTAAACCTTAACCATTCAGCCACGGACGCTTAATAGACACTAAACACTAGCCACAAATAAAGCAGAGAGCGCAATTTCCAATGCTACAACGAAACTTCCAAATGAGAGAAAACTTTTAATGAACAATTTTATTTGCGAGTTAGGTTAGGAAAAAAGGTTCGTTATAACATACTAAGTTGATCGCAAGTGTAAAAATGCATCAACTCTGTTAACTTATTACTATTCGAATTTCAAAGCACGTGCTATCAAAATGCCGAAAGGTGCCCCAAAAGCTGCGTCAATATTTGCGACTAAGTTTAGAGAAGAAAGAAAGTTCGTACGAATACACTTTGCTTCGCAAATGTAAATAGGTTCATAGTTATTGAGTTGATTTAAATGTTTAATATAACTTTTGGCTCGATCACGAAATGATTTAGTGGTGAAAGTTTGAATGACAATTAGCGAATGGCATGAACTAGCCGAGATTAGATAGCGTACGGGCGTTTAAGAGACCGAAGTACACGCTGGAAATGAATAATTTTTGGCCTTTTAGCTTCTTTTCAACTTTATAATGAAATATACTTCGGGTTTGCAGGAGTTTTAGAGCTAATCTCGGTAGGCATTTTTGTTAGTCGCCATAGTAATTGGTTGCTTGCAAATTTTTATGACTTCTGATTTGACTGACTTAGTTTTACAGCCATATTTTTTCTGTATTTTCGGCACTCTTTAATACTTATTCTCTCATTTACTTTTTTACTGAGCCGTTAACAGTATATACTAGCCGACAAATTTAGGGAAAGTACTGAAAAAAAGCCAAAATTCTGATAAACCATGAAAACCTACACAGACGCGAAGCAGAGCTTCGCACCACTTGCGATGGAAAATTTTTTACAAAATCAGATTGGAAAAGTTTTGGAAAACGGTTTTGAAAACAAAAAGAGCAGCAAAATCAATTTGACTCCGACTGACGTTTTAAACCTGTCAGCTACGCAGAATACACGCGATAAAACTATTTGTAAACAGCGGACTGATGAAAAACGATTTTATATCAATTTACAAGAACCAAAACAATCAAGATTAAGCAAAATACGAGCCCCACCCGAAGAAACTCAAAAATTTCTAAAAAACAACATTCAATTGAAAATGATTAGCTTCAAAAACAATAACAAAAATTTCAAAATCGAATAATTATTATTCTTGCCTGCTAATTATTCTTCTTCTCTTCGTTAAAAAAACCTCACCTTCTTAGAAATTGTTCCAAATTGAAATTAGCCATGCTATTTGCTCTATTTATTATTTTGCTACAGTCTTAACCTATCAGATTGTACTTAACAAAGAGTGTGGGCATCACGCGCTTTGTTTTCAAAAAAATCATAGAATTTTCGATTATTTCATCCGTTTTTTAAAGCGAACCCTACTCCATAAACCATGAAATGTAGTGGGAATTTTCAGGGCTTCGCCCTGATACGAGCAGTCTTGTTATTTTTTATCAACAAGTTGTCTGAATGATTAACAAATTAAACGCAAGTTCAAGGATAAATCATACTCTTTTCTCATCGGGGTTAATTTCAGAAAGCATCACTGCATTTCTGCGAATGATCAAACTTTACGACCGATACAACGAGCGATACAGTGAATTCCAAACTATTCTTTTTTCACCAATTTTCCATCAACTTTTGCAGTCAGAAGGAGGTTTTATGCATCTTTAAAAACCACGCAAGCGGCCAAAAATAGATTAAAATTTAGTTTTTTTTTTAAGTCGTGACTCGGATTCCGCGAAGATTCGGTCTGAACATTTCCCTTTTTCAGACTGATTCATTGCCTGCGGATGAGAAAAGATTTGTAAATAGAAATTTTTCCTTGTGTTGCTAGCATTACTATGGTCAGAAAATGTTGTGTTACTTGCAGTTGCTCTGCAAGTAGCACAGAAGGTTTCGACTGCATTTATCTACGCAAAAAAAACTTGTGCGAGATTTAGGTGGCGCTTTTTGAAATCCAGAGCAAATTTTTCTGAATAGGCAAAACTGCAGACCAGTTCTGTTCGACAGAGACAAATTTGGAGAGAAAAAATTGAATCTGAATCAGCGCTGAAGAGGCTTTAACCTGATATCACCCTTGAACCCCTGCAGGTTTTTTCGACAATGTTTTTAAACTAATAAAATGATTAAAATTTAGAGTGAAGTCACTCTACTTCACCTACTGATTGATTGTCCCCGGCCGAGGGAAGTATTTTAATACGCATAGAACAAATAGTAATGAAATTAAACCTGTAACTTAAACTAATACCGGTTAATCCTGACTTTTATACTCAGATGATAACTCAGTTGAAGAAAAAATTACTGCAAATTGAATTAAATTTTGCACATCAACTGCCCTATTAGAAACTATGGTTGATTCATGAAATAATTTCAAGACCTAGATATCTCAACTCAAAAATGATTTCGTTTCAAAAATACTCATTTTGTATCTGTTCAAAACCATAGAGCGATAAAGCAGTTGTGCTATCATTACACATACTCATAACTCATTATTCTAAACTAAGTTAATTAGTCAGTTTCGCCAGCGAACTTTCCGTTTCTTTGATCAAGCTAACAAGAGCTGTATTCTGCGCAACAGCCTTTGCTTCTCTGAGGGCTTTTAACCTAGTCAGAAGTACTGCTCTTGTCATTGGCTTGTTGACGCTTGCACTGTTGGTGTCCAGAATAGCTTTTAACTCCTCGGACGATTTGGAGTCCATGTTTTGGATGGTTAAGAACCTGCTCTCCATCACTTTGATTAAGCCCAGGTATTGACCATAAGGCACTTGTGACCTAGCAGCTTTAGCATGTGTCTCATTGAACACATCTTGAGCCAGTTTGATTTGACCTTTGTCGAATCCTTCACGGAATCCATCCTAAGCACAAAGTTACTCATTTTTCAGCAGTTAAACAACATAAAAATAAGCCGGTAGCTGTGCATGTATCACAGAAACACACGACCACATTTACAAAAAAAAACATTTTTTCAACGTGGGATGAGAGGAAAGCCGAAAGCTTAGAACTGAAGTAAATTAATTAAATCAAATAAAGTTGTCTTGAAAAAAATAAATTAATGAAAATTGAACCGGAAGCTTCAAAAATTTCGTTTCCTGGATCAAAAAATCACATTTCATCTAAAAAACGTTACTAGTTCATGATTAGACTAAAAAGCAACTTCAAACTGGTTTTTCTAGACATTTTTCTATTCATGATATATCGCTCAACACATTTTGACACAGAGGCGAAGCGGAGCTTCGCACCAATTGTGATACAACAAACAATGGCAAGGCAGCTAGCCCAAAAAGGACGCAAGCTGACGCAAAAAAAAATAATTTTTTAACGTTTGTCTGAAATGCGGGTCAATTTAATTGAGAAATTCAACTGCCAGTGTTAAATAAGCTTTGAGAACAAACTTCATTAAGCGGATACTGAGCAGACAAAACTAAAGAAGACGATTTTTGATTCAAAAAAAATCAAAATTGCGCTACAAAATGTTTTGAGTAAAAAAAAATACTTCTAAGTTTTACAACACCCCTCCCTATTTACCTTTCCGTAAGCACTAAAACCATTTCAAAAATTTGGAGCTTCATACAACGAATTAACAGGCAACTAAAAAGATACGCATCAGCCGAAACCATTTAGGCCAAAAAAATACTGAAGCCAAATACTTAACTCGAAAAGTGAAAAAAAAAACGAAAAGTAAAAAGCGAAGAAAACTAAAAACAGGAGTTGATTTACAACCAACAATAAAATTTCGAACAGAACGACCATTTAAAAGGCAGAAATGCTCAGAAAAAATATGTTGACAGGCACTCTGCTCTGTGGCTATCAGCTAACTTTGGCTGTGGCTAACAGCCGAGCTAACGGATTCAACGGATTTTGTTGAACTAGTTGTTAACTAGACAAAAGTATATATTCCAGTTTGATAACGCTTGCTAATCGTAAGCGCAATTATTGTTGGTGGCCCGAGATTTTGCGTGGAAAAAGTATAGAAAACTGAAAGACACCATACCAAAATGGTCGAAACAAAAACTAAAATTATTAAAAAAAAAGCAATAACTGAAAAAAAAACACACATACCATCTTTCTGTGTGATTAGCATAAAACTTCATAATGTTACAATTGCAAAAAAAGACATTGAAAAATATCCGAAATCTATCGCAGTTATGCTATAAGAGAACGAAAACTTTCCATTTACTTATAGATAACCAGAACAGGAACTCTGAAGAATCGTGCAATTAAGTAATCAAAAATTACTTGACAAAACAAACGAAGAGCCGAAAACAAAACTGTTGTCATGAAAAAATTTTGAGATTTAAAATTTTTTAGGACCCATCCGTACTGAAACACATTATCGCATAAAACCGTATTTAGCCCTCACAATGATGCAATATGAGTTGACTTAGCAGATATAACATAAGCCGGCACGGTTTAACCGAAGAAACACGAAAATCAGACTAGGTAAAATTATAAATTGGGAACTTTCAACTATATTCAGAACTGTTTAGATCAAAATAACCCATGCTTTAGAAAGTTAGCCAAAAAAACGGCATTAGATAACTGAATGCCATTTAAAAACATAAATAACCAAGTTGGAAAGAGTCCTAAACGCAAGGAAATAAGTAAAAATACTCAATTTGAGAAAACTGGACAAAAACTTTAGGGTTGGTCGCCGAAAATGGTTGACATAAAATAATAAAAAGGAGGCCCATTGGTTGGTGAGAGGTCAAATCTCTTAAGTGCAGGCGTCCACTCCCTCTAAATCCTCCCGCGAATTTACTACTAGAATGCTTCAGATGGTTAAATTCTACCAAACACTAACACCGAGAAATTGATTAATTTGACAGTCTTATTTTGGCAACGTTTTAAATCAAAAATGTAACTGATAACTGTTAATTGTAACTGAGAGCTGATGCTATCGTGGATTTATTATAATTTCTACCTAGTTTTTACAATGACGCGTTGATTGTGGAAATTAACTTTACTTATTTAGGAAATTTATTCTATGTTTATTTTGGATTTAGAATTGTAGAACATAGCCAACAGAGAATTGGGAAAAATCAATGAACGCAAGAGAGCAGAAAAAAACTGACTATTTTGGTAAACTTCAACTTTTGAATTTCAAAGAAAAAATATGATCCTAGAACACTTTGAAATTCAAGAGAAATTCATGACTGATACTTGATAAAGATGACTCAATTTGAGAAGTGGATCAAAAATTTTAGGTTTTTATTCGGCTGGAAAACCTGAAAATTAAATCCAGTTACGAAATTAAAGTCGATCACGTTTTCCGTACGTTTTTGCTGCTCGCTAGTTCGCTTCAAAAAAGTATAATCGTGAAAACTCAAATTTGAGAGTGAACAAAGACATAAAAAAACATCGATTCATTAAAAGTTTTAGTTTTGGAATGGACGTATAGTGGGCAATTAATTTGGCTATATTCTGAAAAATATTAAAAATTTCTTCCTCTTCTTCGAATGCACTTCACTTATGAATGAAAGCACAACTATAGTTTTTTAAAGACAAATAAAAATGGCAAACTGCGGAAGTGTGGGCTATAAATTTTTTGCTACTAGGCTGGGAGCTAATACCCTGAAACATAAATACTAGTGCGTAACTTGCATATCCGGTGCTTCAAACAGACTTATGAATGTGAAAATTGCTTATATATGAAACATCTGAAAAAACCACGAGATTAAAGTCAACCGCAAGAAAAAACAGGGGTAATCAACAACGCTTACTATTTCGTAAATTCAACAGTTTGAAAACAAATTCAACTTAACGGTTTTTTTTTCAACTAAAACTGTTGGAAATTTCGAGTTTTTTTCGGAAATTTCTCAAAAATCAGAAACATCACAACACGAAATATGAACGTTATTGAGCAGACAAATTTTGAGGCAAGACATGCAGCCCCCGAGCTAACCCTGACAGCGCCCCACTATAGTCACTATAATAAAATAATGTATAGATTGATATAGATAGATGGATGAACCCCCCCCCCTTTACCCAACACTCAATGGTGGAATTTAACTACAGCTTTACATTCGGTTCATATAATTAGCTCAGCAGTGACAAACTTAAAAATCGAAAAATTCCCAAGCATTGCAACATACGATATAACTTTAAAAAAACTAAATTACAAAAGAGGCCCTTCCGTTTAGTTGCGGTAAGTGCACAAGCTAAATAGGGCCATACCAGCGTTTTAAAAATGCATATATATCAGCAAACTGTATCATTTTATCAATGAAGTCATAAATCAGCATTAAATGCATCGTCGTAATGTTAATTTATCTTAGCCGTCCTTCGTCTACAATAGCGCTAATGGAGTTGTCGATAAATTAAACTTTGCGCAGCGATCTGCACCCCCTTATATAAAGTATAGAGCTCTTTCTATGTATTTTAGTTCTTATGCATTTCTTCGATATAACTTAAACGGCAAAAATTCTTTCGTCAAACCAAAAATGCAAAAGCGATATTAAAAAATTTTAACATTGTTAGATAGTTAAGCCCGCATTTAAATATATGATAGATAGACTCAACCAAAACCGAAACTGACACAATAAAATACAATGTAGTCATTACAAGGTTTCTTTTCAAAAGGAAATCATAACTTTTTTCTGAATTACTTTAAAAGCGTCTGATAACTGTTGATTATAAGCACGTCTAGCCATTTCAAGGGATTCATCCTCTGGTCCTCCATCCTCATAGTCTGAATCGCCATCAATAGACAGTTTCCGAAGTTTAGGGGCATCATTTTTCACAGTTTTTTGGAGCGATGAGCTGACTGGTTCGTCTTTTGATGACGACTGCAAATTTGAGCTACTGGGATTACTCATTCTCTTTTACTATCTATTCAGGTGGCATTCTGTTATCTGAAATGGAAAAACCCAAAAAATAATATCGTTCGGCCACCAGAAATTTCATTCTAAAAATAACGTTTTTCCCATTTAATCCCTCCCAGCCTAGCAACAATAGATGGCGTGACTCCGAGCGGACAAAAACGTCTACAAAAGTCCTTTAAAAAAAGTAAATTATTAATTCCTTAGAACTATGAAGAGGTACACCTCAAGGGACAATCCTGTGCCTGCTTTTAGTGAAACTATACGTTAATGATTTTGGATTTCATGTACTTATTGAAACCAAATTATAACAGAATGCAGACGATTGTTAAGTAATCAATACTAGCCAAGAGTCCGTTTCAGCTTTATCAAGACTGCAACAAACTTGATTAAATTAGTCTTATTTTTTTCAGAGCCATAAACTCATGCTGAACGCTTCAAAAACCGAGTTTATATCGTTTTGCGAAAAAAATGAAATTCGTCTCAACAAGGATTGTAACATTCGCCCAAATACTACACAGCGACGGAGCGTAGAAAAAGTACCTATTAACGACTGGCAGGCGTCAGTTACCTTAATCCTACTCGTTTTTCACCGTCTCGACCTTGCCAGTTGATTTTCTGGTCTGTTTAGGGCTAAGTAAAAATTTACTATTTTTAGGCCATCAGTCAAACGACTTTTGATCAGCTTTCGTTTACATGCGAACACAACCACATAGCTGAGTCTCGGATCCTCAGACTACGTGATTGCTATTAAAAACACGGCTCGAAGCTTCCTTCTCCACCAATTTCCACTGCTAAGAGTCTTATCGTGTGTTGTTGCCACGATAAGAGGCTTCGTATTTCTCGTCTCTTGTGCGACCGTTTTCCACAATATTTGTGGTTGTTCTGTTTTTTCGTCCTTTTCAGTCAAAATGGCCGTCTTTTCGTATTTCTGAGAAATATTCACTCTTCAATCGAAATTTTAAAATAAAAATTCTAGAATATTCCTACCCTCCTTCGCAATACTTTTTCGTTACTAAGGCCTTTATTCGTCTTTT